TGGAAAAAAAAAATTAAACTTTAAAAAAAAAATTATTGGGTCGTAATGACGTAAAAAATTGGGTCGTTTTTTCAGCGCTTTGGAAGGTTGGGCCTGAAACAGTATATTGAATATTGACGAGGCCAAGTCCCGGATACCATTTTTCAATGTCCTGGTCCGGGCCAGGTACTCGTCAATATCCAATTGCCCAACCTCATCCGCGCCCACGAATCCGCGTACCACTTCCTTCAACACCAGTGCAACAATTTGACGCTCCATCTGAAAGAACAAATGCACCTATATACATTTATTTTTTGAGGTTAAGGGGATTGGAAGCGACGATTTTCTATATCTGTCTAACCCACGTGTAGCATAGCAATTTAGACGTCTTCTAGTTCCAACGTACCGATCAATCTATTGATGCTACACGTGGGTTAGACAGAAATAGAAAATCGCCGCTTCCAATCCCCTTAAAACAAGAACGAACAACGTGCTGTCCATGTGGACAGAAGAATACTTCGACCATGATGTTAATGAATAATATTATTATGAAAAACATGAAAATAAAAAATATACTTACAACTGCAACGGCCGTACAATTTAATAATTAAAAATTACTTTCGTGATACAAATACAAATTAATATTACAAAATTAGAAACAAGAATACAAATTAACTAACATAGAAATCTTATAGAAATCAAAAATATCTTTTTAGGTATTAACGGTAAAACGGCCGTAGGCAAAATGAATTGAAATCCCGAACGTAGATGGTCACCACCATAGATTGCAGCACGCTTTGGGCTAGGCGGTGGTCGGGGTACCAGTGTGTCGGCGACGGCTGATGCAATCCGGATTTACCACACGCAATCCTTAAAATAGACGGATAATTCCAGATAAAGACACTCGCTTTGAAAAATTTAAACCTACGGCTTCCCCTGTTAAATTTATTAAATACCTTTATTAAATACCTTATATAATATATATAAAATAATATTAAAATATAAAATGTATATAAAAAAAAGAGAAAAAAATTTGTGTTAAAAAATGTAATATTGAATTGAATATTATTATATTATTATTATTGAAAGTTGTAATAAAATATTATTATTATTAATTTACATACTGTTAAACCTAAATTGACTTACATTATTTTATAACGTATTTAATTATATTACTTACGAACCATTGTAATTGGGCTCGCCTGTTTGAATATTAAATAAATAAATATTTAAAAAATAGAGAAAAAAATTTGTGTTAAAAAATGTAATTAACCAGTAATGTAACCTTACCTAATATCAAAATAAAGCTAAGAATCTGAGCTAAAACATAAACTTTATTTCGCAAACACCGGTTGAGAATTAAGAAAGTCGGAATCTTACGCGGCCGATCCGTTTAAAAATTATTCACGGTAAAACCTAAAAAAATAGACATGTATCGAGTATTTTCCATCTCAGAGAGTCAATTTTGAACCCTGGTACACCATACGTATATCAAATTAAAGCTTAGAATCTGGGCTAAAACATAAACCTTATTTCGCAAACACTGGTTCATAATTAAGAATGTCAGAATCTTACGCGGCCGATCCGTTTAAAAATTATTCACGGTAAAACCTAAAAAAATAGACATGTATCGAGTATTTTCCATCTCAGAGAGTCAATTTTGAACCCTGGTACACTATACGATAAAATAACTCTGTTGCGAGAGTATGAAAACTACAGTGACACGAAATCGACACGTAAACCGAAAATTTCATGGTTCGTTCCCGTTTTCTTTAACTACGTCCAATTATTTCTGGTAAAAAGATATCACGAACAGACACAAACACAAACAGAGAAATATAATAACAATGTAAAAAAAAAAAAAAAAAACCCACACGTCATTTAGTAAAACCGATAGGATGTTATTCGCTTTGCTCGGAATCATAAAAGAAAAAAAAACAACCCCCCATCATTAAAACACAATAGGCCACGAGACACACAGTCGTAGACAATAACAGTATTATTATTGTCATCGTCAAGACTAAAACAGTTAGCTCGGTCTGCTCGAAAATTAACCATACGGATGGCGGGTAGGGGCACTAATGGCTTTTGCTCGACAAACTTTGACGGTAAATTACAATTTGATTTGACCCGGGCCTGCTGGAGCAACAGCAGCGGCGGCGGCGGCAGCGGCACCAATACGACTGCGGAGGCCGCGCGCCGTCGTCTTTACAAGTACCGCCGGAACCGTTTCACCGGGTGGCCCGACGCCCTTATAATACACATATATATATATTTATATTTCGTACGGTTTTATGAGCATCAGTCAAAATGTAAAATAAACATAACATCGGGATAACACGTGGGATGCACGAAATCAAATATACGATTATATGAAATAATACGAATTAAAAATAGAATAAAGCGTATCGAATTGTATTGTAAATGACTGGTAGTATTTTGGATATTTGGGAACTTATAAGCGTAGTATGCCCAGGCTTTGTATCGACCGACTGCTGTCCGTTTGCTGCGCGTAAATCTTCTATTGTGTGATACCGTTGAAAGCACGTAGCGGGGCACTCGGATATTACATGTGGGATTGTTGGAGACACGTATCCGCAGTCGCATGCGGGGAATTTTATAGTTTCCACTTGTGCAGGAGATACTTGTAAATTATACACAATTGTAATTTCAAATAATATTGAAAATAAAGAAGTTGATTGTACTCGGTTCGTTGGACGGTCGTCTGCACTAGCTGATGAGTTGTGCGATGTGAGCGATTTTTAACATCACACCGTCAGACCAACTCGTGATAGTACCAACTCAATATTGGCAAATTTTCATGAGAGACGATAAACGTTTCGCTCAATTAAAAAAAAAATAATAAGAATACTTACATAAAATAATTGTTTTCAATGTATTTGATGACTTTACTAATGATATTTATGATGAAAAAAAAAAACATAAAACACCAATAACGCTTTTTTATAGGACCATAATACGACATAATGTATACTGTTGGCAAAGCATCACTAAGGGCTAAAATACGCTCAGAATCGTTTTTTTATTGGTTTATTGTTGCTTACAGATATACATCCCTCCTTATACGAGGTCTGTCCCAAAAGTCTCCAATCTTTGTCCGTTATTCCGCGCTGCTCTCATTTATCTGCATTTGGCTCGTGGAATCCTTTGAAGTAGTCTCCATTTGACGGGAGAACACGCTCCCACCTGTGCTTCCATATCCCGAAGTATTTCTGGAAGACCGTCTTTGCAATAGTCTTTAGTGAACTCGTCGCATTTGTTCGTATCGTCTCCGTGTCATCAAATCGACGTCCTTTAAGTGGAATTTTTAACTTTGGGAACAACCAAATTTGTATACATATATGTATTATATTCCCTTCTGTAATCTACTTTTGCCACTTCCTGGGTATAACAGTGGCTGCACACGTTCCCATTATTCTTGGACAGCATTTTATTTTCAATATGAATAAACAATTGAATAGGTAGTGGAATAATAATAACATACTAAATATTCTGTTTGAATTGGAAAAGACTTAGCAATTAGTAAAACGGATAAAATCACACATTAACTTTTTTATAGTTTTTATTTTATTCATTACATACAATACTATACAAATGTGAATTTTCTGGAATACAATGATCTTTGTGGTACGCTATGTACAGTTGATGAGTCATTCATTCGTCGATGAATTATCAGCAGTTGACTCCTGCCATATATTATATCTGTGACTGTCTCATTCTGAAAAAGAAAAAACAGCAAAAATGTTAATGATTTGATAGTTAATACATTTTCTGCGTTTAATAATATAAATTATTACAGATACCAACGACATATACGTGGTACACAAAACTCGTCACTTCAAGAATAATTTTCGCTACAGTTGTACTTTATAGCTATTGTTTTATTCTCTATAGTTCGCTAATAGAAGTATTGTTGTAATTTCCTCTTCTAGTTCAACCACTTTGGTTGCTTTAACACAAGCAAAGTTAGCATCGAGAGAATTTATTTCCACGTTGTTTTTACACTCGTGATTATCGTATGTGGCAGAACTTAACCATGTCTTTTGTCGATTTCCGAGCAAACATTTTACAAGAAATGACTCAATTACTGTTNTTTTGTTTTGAAATTATGAGTGGAGCGAAGAAGCTTACGGTTTTTATTATGATGATAAATATTTTATTTAAAACAATATCAGATAAAAAAACAAAAAACAAAATTTTTAATAAAACTAATAGTTCAAAAATTAATTTAAATTTATAGATTTAAAAAAATTAAACATAGAAAAAACGTATTTTTAAACACCTAGATAGCTGTCAATATAATTATAATAATTAGCTTGAAGAAAAATATATCAGATTCTTTTTAATATTCATACAATAACTGGTAGGTATACAATATTGTTTTATTTATAACGATGTATTGCATAGACATTACGACCATTATCGGGGTCTATTTTCAATTGATCTATTATTAATTTGTGAACTATTTTTTGAATAAATACCATTTTTTTTTTTAGTGAATCAACCTGAACACTAATATGTACTTTATACTTTTCACACATAAATGCTTTTTTTTTTTTTAAATTGTGTAGTAGAATGGTGATCAAATTTTAAAATAGTGGTGAGTAAAAGGAAAGTGTTATAATGATTTCTTGCCTGAAATGATAAAAATGTATATGACTATAAAACTTTTTTATAGTTTTTATTTTATTCAATACATACAATATTATACAGATGTCAATTTTCTGGAATATAATGATCTTTGTGGTACGCTATGTACAGTTGATGAGTCATTCATTCGTCGATGAATTATCAGCAGTTGACTCCTGCCATATATTATATCTGTGACTGTCTCATTCTGAAAAAGAAAAAACAGCAAAAATGTTAATGATTTGATAGTTAATTCATTTTCTGCGTTTAATAATATAAATTATTACAGATACCAACGACATATACGTGGTACACAAAACTCGTCACTTCAAGAATAATTTTCGCTACAGTTGTACTTTATAGCTATAGTTTTATTCTCTATAGTTCGCTAATAGAAGTATTGTTGTAATTTCCTCTTCTAGTTCAACCACTTTGGTTGCTTTAACACAAGCAAAGTTAGCATCGAGAGAATTTATTTCCACGTTGTTTTTACACTCGTGATTATCGTATGTGGCAGAACCTAACCATGTCTTTTGTCGATTTCCGAGCAAACATTTTACAAGAAATGACTCAATTACTGATGTGAATAAAGTTGTAAATGTTTTAAATTTGACTGTCGATACAGCGGATGTCATTATACAATGTAGCAGATGCGAATTTTCTGGAATATAATGTTACTACAAAGATCTTTATACGCTATGTACAGTTATACATGTCGCATGTCGCATACGGGGTAATATTTTAGTTTTCATTTGTGCACAAAATACTTGCACTTTCTATGCTTCCTCGTTCGTAGACAATTCACTATAATAGTACGAATATAGTTCTTATAATAGTATTGTGTTAAACAAGACTATCGAAGGGACAAGAGAATAATAATAACATTAGTGCCGGAGCGTGCGGACTTTTTCTTTTTTTTTTTTTTTTTTCATAAGTTAATTACGTGTTGTTTTTTTTTCTATCGGATACACTCCACCATGTACGGGAGTATACGATATTATTATGCCCGTGCACGATTCGTGTATTATACCGGTAGGGGGTTGTTCCGGAAAAAGTAACACGATCGCACGAGTTTCATCTTATCTGTTCTAACGCATCCGTCTCGCGACTATTCCGACGGAAATTATTATCGGTCTCCTAAATCCCGTCGTTCACGTCGTAATCCGTTCCGTCTCGACAATCAAATATGATTATCGGGTGATGATTATCTATACAAATGTATTTTCCGACGATAAACCGTCGAGTACTCTATCCGGAACCGTATTAGACAAATGTGAGGTTTGCAAAATGTCTTTTACGTAGTTTTAGTGAAATTCTCGTAGATTTTATTTATTTCGTTCGATCTCACTTGAACGCATTAATTCAGTCTTCTGTTTTTTTCAAAAATCACGTATAGATTTCTTATTAAATAAATTAATTTCAGGAATTGCGTACATGTCACTAATCGAATCATAAAAAAAAAAAAATTGTTTGTTTCATCTCGTCTCATTCAATTTCGCTAGTTTCGCATTCCCAGAACAAACTCCTCTTGCTTCCTTCGGAGGAGCCACAGATATTTACAGAGCTCAGAATAAATATTTTAAAAAATAAGTGTTTTTTTTTACATACAGTTTGACGTTAAGAGAATATATTCATATATGAATGCAATAGTGCATTTTTTGCATATTTGTTTTAGACTCTAATCATTAGAGTCAAAATCCGTCATGTTTTGTTCGGAGAGCGACATTTCTAGAAGGAATTTTATACAGTGTAAAAAAAAAAAAACATTATTGTAAAACAAATACATAGTGTCTCGTTTCCATGAGAACCTAAGATAATTCGATGACTTTTATTTGTCCATTATTAACCTTATTAAATTAAACCCCGTCGCGGATTTGGATCAGATCAAATGTAATTGGTTTACCATTATTACTACGAACAAACGGCGTTGCTCCTTACCCCTATCGCCATAATTGTTTAAAATAAATTAACAATATCTTAACAATATCTTAGTAACTATGACGAAGCTTCGACAACAATCAACAATCGTAACTTTGTTTTGGTTGTTACCAGTAGACTATACGGACGGACATAAAAAGGATATTAATAATAAGGATATAAGAAGGATAATAAGGTATTTGTAATTACGTTTAGAAACTTAAAAATCTATAGTTAAAACAGTGTACAACCGTGGGCACAACAGGGGGACGCTTAAGTGTTTAGTATCCACAATTTTAAAATTAGCATCTCCGAATGTACCCAATAAGTGTCTTAATAGAATCGACTAAATATTTAATCCGTGAATAATTAATAAATAAAACAAAATACCAAAACATTTGGTGTGTGTACAAAATAAATTTAACCAAATTGTAATACGTTTAAATATTACATTTTTTTTATCTACGGGTTCCACAATAATTCTAAGTACAAAATTTGTATATATATTTAAATATAAATGTAAGAAAAAAAATTAACATTGTTTTATGAAAAAACAACACAGCTATAATATTAATCTGTTGTGCATCGCGAACATTCAAAAACTTTCACCGATGAAACCTGTAAATCATAATAAATAGGATAGCAAAATAATGTTCATTACGTGGAATCGGACTTTAATACTAAATCTTGTATAAAATAATATGGAGTACGAAATACCTACAATAGTCCAACAACAAAATATTATTTTCTTATGAAAAACAACGATGTACCGAGTGCTGCTTCGTCATAAAAGATCATTGTTTCTTGAGTCCGATATTTATTCGNTCTGATGTATCCTAAAGTAAAAAGGAAAACAAAATTGAATTTAATTATAACGGTAATAATGATGACAATAATAATAATTGTACTATTATGTAGTAAACAGTGGCCTGCGCAGATGGGGTGTGATTGGGGGCCGTATTCTCTTCCCCACAAGGTGTCTTTCGAATACAACAACTATGCGTAATATAGTTATTTGTTTAGTATACCTAATAACTGCGTAACTATTATCTATTCGGCTAAGTTAAAAGGGAAAAACTCGACATTTCGGTTATTTGTAGATCTGGCCTTGAAATTGAAATCATAGAATCGAACAGAGAAGAAGCATTCTGTAAGATTTGTTTACGATATATATAAGCATATGGCTTCGGCATAATTAAATAAATAAATGAACAAAACAGGATAAATAAATAGATAAATAGATAAATAAATAAATAATAATAGAAATAATAAATAAGTAATTAGTAAATAGGTAAATAAACAAAAACGGTGACTAGAAACTAAAGACTAAAAATTTGGTAACTATTGGGTTAAGTTGTCTCATAGGCGAATAATCAGATTTTCCAGCCCTTTAATCGCGTTTGCACTGCCTTCATGTATACCTCTCAAACCCCCATCGTATTTAGTTAAAGGGCATGTCTCAACTATATGCTTCGTTGTTTGGATATTTCCATAGTGACTCACTCATGCCCCATTTATGGAGTAAATGATTGCAACTACCATTAGCAGTTCTTATTCTATTTATTGTAGTCCATAATGATCGTGGAAAGTCAAATCCTGGGAGTTTCTGGGTAGGATCTACTACCGACTCAGCATTTTATACTTCAGCATCCTTCCAGCGGCTTTTCCATTGGTTCTCTGTGTTCACTTCTGTTTCAATATCGATCCACACTGGGTTTCTAGATTTAAGTCTTTTTACTGGATGTTGATAAATGTCCTCGTATACTGAGAGGTTTGGGTTTTTTTTAAATTTTATTTAACAAGGAGTGGGTTGCTGCTTTTCTTCTCAGGTCAGCAGGAGCAATGTTTGCAAGAGCAGGGAGCCATTGTTGTATTTGAGTACTTTTTACCGTTCTCGAGATAATTCTCATGGTATGGTTTAACTGCGTGTCGATTTTTTTACTGTGAGTGCTCCTTGTCCAAGCTGGCTCACAGTACTCTGCTGCACTATACACGAGCGCCATGGCTGAGATGCGTAAAGTATTTGCTTTACAACCCCAGGTTGTACCTGCTAGTTTTGATATTATGTTATTCCGCGTTTTTAATTTATTTTTTAGACCTTCCAGGTGAGGTTTGAAAGTAAGGGCTCTGTCCAACTTTACTCCTAGGTATCTGGGGAAGTCTTCATTTGGTATAACTTCCTCATTCACATTTACCATGATTTTATAATTTGCTTCGCGGTTATTTAAGTGGAAGGCGATCGAAATTGACTTACTAGCATTCAGAATAAGATACCAGGTTTTTAAATATTTTTGAATTTTTGCGAGATCTTTACCAAGATTATACTCTATTTCTTCAAATGTTTTTCCCTGCTTTACAATACCGATGTCATCTGCATAAATTAATTTTCTAGAATTTGTTCTTATAATGTCCGCCGTATACACGTTGAAAAGAATGGGAGATAGAATTGAACCTTGTAGCAAACCATTTTGAAGAACTTTCTTTTTAATTATTTGGACATTTTTAGGTATAGAAGAATTTGTTGTTTTCATCTTGGTGGCCGGTTTTCTGGACGAAGATTTTTCTTTTTTTGNAAACAAAATTGAATTTAATTATAACGGTAATAATGATTACAATAATAATAATTATACTATTATGTAGTAAACAGTGGCCTGCGCAGATGGGGTGTGATTGGGGGCCGTACTCTCTTCCCACAAGGTGTCTTTCGAATACAACATCTATACGTAATATAGTTATTTGTTTAGTATACCTAATAACTGCATAACTATTATCTATTCGGCTAAGTTAAAAGGGAAAAACTCGACATATCGGTTATCGGAATTCGGTTATTTCTAGATCCGGCCTTGAGATTGACATCATAGAATCGAACAGAGAAGAAGCATTCTGTAAGATTTGTTTACGACTAATATTCGCTATTACATCATCCTCTACCGTAGGAAATTCCTGGACACGCCACTGGTTGTATACAAGTTTATTACCACATAACTACGTCACGATATCGTTTGGTGTTAGCTTCTTCCGTTTCGGTGGGCTGATCGTGTCTGATGATGCTAATTCTGAATACCCTCGTTTAGGTGCCCTCGAAACAATTTCGAAAAAACACGATAGTTTTGTTTTTATAGCCGCAGCCGTTACTATGACGCCATCTTCCAATTTTTGACGTTTTATTCTATTTTCAACCTGGTTTGTGAACTCATTCGGTAATTCCCGTTTCAACGGACGCCGTCCCGTCAATGACAATGCTCTGTTCATTAAATCGATGATGGCCTCTTCGTAGTCAAACTTTTTAACCGTATCGTTCGATAATTCAACATCAACATTTCCTAATAAACACAACGGAGTGTTTAATTTTTGTAAAATAACCGATTGGAAATTAACGGGTTACACAAATTGTTTACTAATCACCAAACTGAATGTTAATCTACAAGAAAGTTCTTGTACACATGTATTTATCAGTGTGAGATTTATGTAACCAAAATTGATTATAGACGCATGAAAAAAAAGTCGTATTTAGTAATACACATAAATCATTTAAATTCTAAATTTTTAACAAAGAATAAATGTATTGTTTTTAGTAGTAATTTTTCTTATCTAATTGTTGAATTAATTCGTGATTATACGATAGAACGATGTACTATTCTGTGGAAGTTTCATTTATAAAATCATCTATGCATTCGTTACTAAACTCACCGTTTACATTTAGTGATCCGTGTTCTACCATTGCAACAACAAATTCCATGTAGTTCGACATGATGTTCAACGTTATATTTCTACAAAAATGATCATAATATGTTTTATTATAACAGACAGCAAAACTACAGTTTTATCAATTATTATATATATCTTTTTAATTGAATATGTTTATGGGTGTGACACTGGTGTAAGTAAAAATTCGAGAAGGTAATATACATAAAGTTATTTAGGTTATATCTGTACGATTGTGAGCGAGGTTCGGTTTAACATATTTTTTAATGCCGTAATGTTAACGATTTTCGTCAAAGATTGAACTCGGATACCTCAAAGTTCGCTTGAATTGTTAACAGTCATTATTTTCAATCAAACTTATCAAAAGGTCAGAACATTATCAAATTCTGTTTTTGTGTA